GGGGGGTGGGTTGTGACTTACACAGTCATCTGACCCTGCCACTGGCAGAGTTAGGATGCCATTTCCAGACAGAGTCGCTCTAGATCTCACAGACTCAGGAAGTGTTCACCCGTTTTCCTCCCCACTGCATCCCTTCCCTCTGTTCATGTCTCACCACAATCCTGCCCACTCTTCACCCAGTATTCTCACACCTGTATCCCCAGAGAAACAAGCAATATACTGTATTTGCCGTATGTTCAAATGTTCAAATCCTGGAGGAAGGGTGTTCAGTGCATAACCATGACTTCAAAAGTTACTCTGGAAAGTTTTGTTTTGAGTTTTTGTGTAAGGTTTGTGGTAGTGGCTCATAAGATGGCACAGTGGTTAGAAATACTTGCTGTCATAGAGTGGACGTGGGTATGGTTTTCAACACCTACAGGGTGGCTTACAGCTGTCTATAACTCCAGTTTCAGGTTATCTGACACCTTCTCATGGCTTCTTACAGCACCAGGACACACATGGTTCATGTACATAATGCAGACAAAACACACACACACAACCATAATAAATAAGTCTGTTAAACATTTAAAAATGAAGCGTTAATTTTAAGAAATCTCTTCTACAATGATACATCTCACCTGGAACCTACACAGCAAACCTTCCAAAGTCCTGCACATATGTTTCCAAAAATGAGTCATGCAATAAAGAAATGAATACTGTGGCCTACACACCAGTGCGATTGTGGGGCTCAGAGGGTTGATGGTTCTCAGTTTGAATCCCCCGGAGGAGAGTGGTAGCTCCTCTAGCATCCCTTCTCCCGCCTGAGGAATAAAGGATTTCTTAGTGAATCCCCATGTTAGAAACAGACAGAAGAAAATTCCCATTCAATGCCATGGTGAGAAGCTGAGATTCTAGGAGCCTGATGACATCGACAAGTGAATCAGTAACAACAACAAGAAGAAATGCATGCCACACTGATGAAGTACCAAGCATGGCTATGAATGCTTTTCATGGTATCACTCGACAGTCATCTGGACAAAGTACCACTGTCATATCGCTTTTATAAGAGATGACACTGGGGTCCAGAGAGACCAGGTAAGCAGTCTAGGCTCACAGAGGGAGAATCTCAGCTCAGACCTTCCCACTCTGCCAGGAACTTAGGGCACTGAATCCCAATACTTGTTTGGGTCAGAGATGAAACCCTCTTTGCAGCCTCTGAAAATGAGATGATACAGCATCATTTTAAAGTTACTGAGAAGATAAAGGCAAGAATACCTGCATCGCTATGTCAGAGAACAAAACCACAACAATCAATGCCTTGAGTGTAGACTATTCCACATGAGTAATAGTTTAAATATTTATAAAACTAAGGAAGGTCAAGGGTTTAAACAGAACATCAAAAGGAACTGGGTGGTGGCAGCACACACCTTTAATCACAGTGTTTCTGGAGGCAGAGGCAGGTGGATCTCTGTGAGCTAGAGGCCAGCCTGCTCTACAGCTCCATACAGCACAGCAAGGGATACACAGGGAAAGCTGGTTTCAAGCATGTAATGAAGCCAACAAACAAACAATATAAAAGTCAAAGGGTTTTTTTCGTTGGTTTGTGTGGTTTTTTTGTTTGTTTGTATGTTTTTTGAGACAGTTTCTCTGAATAAATTTTGCTTTCCTAGACTAAATTTTTAGAACAAGCTACTGACCTTGGCTCACAGAGATCTGGCTGCCAATGCTTCCCAGAGTGCTGGGTTTATAGGAGTATGCCATCAAGCCCAGCTTCAAAGGGCCTTTTGCCTAATTGATCTTATCTGTAGAGGGATTGGCAACCTGTTACCCCAGTGAGAACAAGTGGAGCTGTCATATGAGAGTTTCAGGTGAGTCATGATCTGATGAGCTAAACCCAGAGGGCAAAATCTGCAGCCTCACAGAAGGAGTGTGTCTATTTCAACTCTCTAACCACCACTGGACAGAAGAGCAGAGCATGTAGGCCATATTGAGTCATAGTCAACAAGGCAGAGGCAGACAACTGAATCCAGGAATACGGGCAAGGCAACCAGAAGATGAATCCTTTCTAGGCAACCCATAGGACCAAGACCATGGTTTATAAATCCTAAACTTGGAGAAACTACAGATGTGTATGATGTTCTATAAAAACAAGGGAAGAGCGTCTTCCATACTCATGGTGTGTGTGTTAACTTGTTTTGTCTACAAAACAAACTAGGATTATCTGGAAAGAAGAACTCTCAATTTTTTGGAGTGGGAAGAAATCCTCTATCTAATTGGCCTATAGGCAGGTCTGTGAGGGCATATTGAGTAATGATTGATGAAGGAGGGACCAGGCCACAGGGGGTGGTAGCAGCCCTATGTAGGTTGGTCCTCAGGTACATATAAGAATTCAGGCAACACAGTGAGCAAGCTAGTAAGCGACATTCTTCCATGGCCTGTGTTTCAGGTCCTGATGGCCCTTCATAATAGAATATAAGCTGAAAGATAAACCAAATACTTTCCTCCCAAAGTTGCTCTTGGTCATCGTGTTTCATCACAGCAACAGAGAGCAAACTAGGACACATGGGATGAGATAATGATATTGATAGTATCAACAAGAACAGACCATCAGATGAGGAGGAATTCATGGGTGACCAAGTCAGGCTTCCTTGAGAACAGCTCTCACTGGGTTCTAAGGAGAAGAAATCAGATGTTTATTTCAGGAGCTGAAGCAGGGGTTCTCTTTTGTCTTCATGATGTAAGGTCTAAATAGCCCCTTGAAGTGTCAATCCAGAGTTCATCTGGAGCTGAGTTTCCCCTGATTCTTGAGGTCACACGTGGGGTCATGACTCTGTGAACACTACAAAGACAGTCTCTCTCAATTTTAGCTTCCTCAACTATAACCTGGGGCATCTAAATGATACCAATCTTTGATGGCAGCTGGGCTAGACAGTATCTAAGATAAATGCTAATCAAAGCAAAAAAATATGAACATAGTTCCTTTTGTCATTGTCCTTTATTCTTTCTGCTCTTGTTCATAGTCTTTGCTCTTTTTGTGTCTGTCTCTCAAAGAATCCGTGTGCTCTTTCCACACTTCCACCAATTTCTCACAAGAGCGACAGAGAGACAGACAGAGAGAGAGAGAGAGAGAGAGAGAGAGAGAGTATGTGTGTTCCTTTATATATCTTTCATCTGGGATATTTTTGCTCTCAAACAACCTTTTTCATGTTTGAATCTATCTCTTCTGACATCAAGTGTGACACAGAAACATAGGAAGAATGACAGTTTTGGTCCTTATCCCCTGTTCCTGGCCAGACTTCTCAAATCCCGAGGGAGGTCCCAAGTGATTAAGGTGAGAAGGGCATCAATGTACTCTAGCTCACAGCCAGCCTTCCTCAGTAACACCCCAGTGTGTGTTAAAGAGGTGAGGTCTGGAAAGTCCTGAGGAATGGAGGGCTAGTGGCCAGGGGAACAAAATCAAGAGTTGACCCCTGACCTCCATGGTGAGAAGAGCTAGAAGTTGACTTGATCACACCGCTAACGATTTCATTGATCATCCCTGTGTAACACAACTTTTATTAAAATCCTAAGTGACTCTGTTCAGAGGGATTTAGAGTTGACAAACTCCATAGTGCTGGAAGGGTGCTGTGCCCAGGGATGGTCCTCTCCCATATGGTGATTCTCCGTGTGCACACATGTGTGTGGAGGACAGAGGGCAGCCTTGGGTGTCATTCCTCAGGTGGTGTCGGCTTCCTGCTTTAGAGATGGTTTTTCACTAGCCTAGAATTTGCCAACTTGCCTGGGCAGTGAGCTCAAGGCATACGCCTATCTCTGCCTCCCTGTACAGGATTACAGCATGTGCCCCTGTGCATGGGCTGTTTGTCACATGAGGTCAGGGGATCAAACTCAAGCCCTCATGCTTGTACGCACATTGCCAAATGTGGCATCTTCTCCCCTCGCCCAATCTGGTTTTGTTTGTTTTTCTAGACAGGGTTTCTCTGTGTAGCCTTGATTGTTCTGGACTTGCTTTGTAGACCAGGGTGGTTTTGGATTCACAGAGATACCCCTGCCCCTGCTTCCCAAAAGCAGGGATTACAGGCATGTGTCACTGTACCCAGCAAGCTGTCCTTTTTTGAGCTATAACTTTCATAATAAATTGTAAGTTAATGTTTCCTTGAGTTTCATGAGCGGTGCTAACCAGTTCTGTAGGCTGATGGGGTATGGTGATCTATGATTTATGGGCAATTGCTCAGAAGCATAGGTCACACCCTGAAACTTGTAACCAGCATCTGAAGTGGGAGGCAGTCTTAATCACACTGAGCCCTTTATCTGAATTTAACTAATTATAAGATACCCTACTGTAGTCTGGAGAATTGGTTGTGTGGGAAACCCCACACATCACACATCTGGTATCAGAGGTCAGATAATGTATGGGCTCAGGCAAAACAAGGGCATCTCTCTTACAGAGCGTTTCCACTTTGGTGCCACCATGGACCACACTGCTTCACCCTTCACAGTTTCACACTGGTCGTCTGCTCTAGGGGCTTTTCTAAACCACAGCTCCTTGTGAGCAGTCAGTCTCTTTCATCTGGATTGCTGACACTGGGTTCATATTCTTCATCATTGGTCCAGGGTGACCATCTGATGTCATGGTTGCTCTGCCAGGACCCCACACCCCATCAGAGGCAGGTGACAGTTTGGATCTCCAGTGCCCCACCTTCCCAGGCTCATGTATTAGAGGTTTGGCCCTCAGAATGGCGCCCATGGATGCTGGTGCCACCTTTCACAGGCAGAGCCTAGTGGAAGGAAGTTAGATCACTAGGGTGTACCCTTGACGGACCACAGGCACCTCATCTCTTTCCTTGCTTCCAGGTCCCCATGAGGTAAACATCTTTGCTTCACT